AAGTGTTATGTGAAGTGCTGATGTGTACAGAAGTTGGAACAGTGACTTAATTATTTTTTTTATAAAATCACTTCAATCCAACTGAAGAATTTTTAGATACATTCGAGCGTTTTATACTTTACTGCAATTCACCTCCCAACAGCTGAAAATAGATTTCCACATATTCTCGGAAGAATGGCCTTTTATGAAACGAGACAGCTTTAAGCATCTTCCAAGAATTTCTGGCACACTGTTACTTCAGCGAAAGATTATGCAATTAAAAATCATCCAAAAGTCGTCATAAAATATTCTTCTTGTCAGTAATGTTTACATTACCAATAGCTTTTGTTACACAAATCAAATGTATGATTAATTGTAAGATTATAACATAAGATACGAATGAATATTACTATGGACCTCCACATCTTTCTGAACAGAGTGAATTTATATATAAATCAGACTTGTCTCAACTGTTTATATATAAATTAGACTTTTAGAGAAAAATCACCTTTAAAAACTATGGTAGTAATTTATATACTTAGCGACGTTTCCAGGCTGGACAGGCTTGTTTTTGAAAAAAGAGAATTTGCTCGAAACGTCGACAAGTATATAAATTTACTACCATAGTTCTTAAAGGTAATTTTTCTCTAAAAGTCTAACTCTTTTATTTTAGAATTTTTCTACTTATATATAGTCCAGGCTGGACAGGCTTGTTTTTGAAAAAAGAGAATTTGCTCGAAACGTCGACAGGTATATAAATTTACTACCATAGTTTTTAAAGTAATTTTTCTCTAAAAGTCTAACTCTTTTATTTTAGAATTTTTCTACTTATATATAGTAAATCTTTTCATTTCCAGAATGTTCGAACCCGCACAATACTTACTTATATTTAACTAGAACACCTCCCAGTGTCCTAACAGAAATTTCATGGCCAGTCTATGAATCCAAAAATTCATGATTTGCGTCCCAATTCCGTAAAAAAGAATTTCGCACTTTAGGGCCATGGGTGCGCTATTTGGTCAGGAAAGATCTTGAGTAGACCGGGAGTTGGCGGTTGGTGCTATTGAATAGCTGCCTTCTTTTCCTCTAGTCTATCAGTCCATAATTAAGGAATGATACCCACAGATAGCCCTTTGCGCGGAGATTCTAAAATACAAATAAACAAGCATAAATTTGACTGTTTTGAAAAGTTTTGGTTATTCGGGATATTAATTATGAAACACTCCATCCCAGTTTTAAAAAAATAGTGTATAAAAAATTTATTCATTTTCTTAGCTCATTTCAAATACTTATCTTTATCTCTGGATAATAAAGCTGTTATTAT